TTTTTTTTTTTTTGGTACCAGGGATCGAACTCGGGACCTTGCGCTTGAGAGGCAGGCAGCGGAACCACTGAGCTAAATCCCCGGCCCCCCTTAAAAACTTTGAAGAACAATTACAATAAGATCTAGTAATTCCGCTTCTTGGGATATTTACAAAAGAAGTGAAACGAGTGTCTCCAAGAGATATCTGTACACCTATGTTCACAGCAGCATTATGTCTATCAGCTAAAACGTGGAAGTAAACCAAGTGTCCACCGTGGATGAATGGATAATCAAAATGCTGAGTATAGTACATAAAAGGGTACACTAGTCACCATTAAGATGGAAATTCTGCAATATGTCACAACTTGTTTGAACCTTGGGCACATTATGCTAAGTGAGATAAGCCAGTCACAAAAAGACACTGTATAATTCCATGTATATGAGGTACTTCTAGCCAAAACCAGAGACAGAAAGTAGAATGGTGGCTGTCAGGGACTGGAAGGGGGAGCAACAGGGATTCCCCGCCCAATGGTTATAGAGTTTCAGTTTCACAAGATAAAAAGATGAAGATAAATGGTGGAGATGGTTGCACAACATCATGAAAGCATTTAATATCACTGAATTGTTCACTTGCAATGGTTAAGGTGATAAATTGTATGTAACATGTATTTTACCACCATAACAAAATTGAAAATATTTTTAAAAGATCAATTGCCACAGGTTCAGAGGGAAGGGATGAAGAGGTAGAACATAGAGATTTTAGGGCCGTGAACTAGTTTTTGATATTATAATGGTGAATACTGCTCATTACATGTTTATCAAATTCCACAGAATGTACAACACAAGAATGTTAAACTCTGGACTTTGGTTAGTAATAATGTATCATCACTGCCTTATCGACTGTAACTAGTGCAAGAGGTTAATACAGTAGTAGGTAAAATGAAGTGGGGCAGGGAGGAAGGAGATGGGAAGACTCTCTATGTGCTGGTCATTTAGTTGTAAACCTGAAACTGCTCTAAAATATTAGGAGTCTCACTTTGTACTCAAAAGTACCAAGAAGCCAGATGTACAATCTTGGAGCACTGTACCTCGGGATGTTTGGAGGGAGCAGTACTGATAGCATACCTGCAGCCGGGCACTGACTGTGAAGCTGCCCACTGTGGGATTCATGCAGGCCACATACTGGCAGTTGTGGATTTCTTTAAGCATCACTTTCTGTCTATCATACCTGAAAGGAAAAAAGTAGCATCCTAAAGCCAAAAACTGGACATCAAAAACCATCAGAATCCATCAGTCATAAAAGATTTCATCACAAGCGGTCACCTTCTCTCCACCATGGCTCTGTGAGGTTGACCTTGTTAGCCTTATTTGGGGAGATCAAAACTGCAGCTCAGAAGTTGACATAGCTCCTTGGGTGCCAAAATCAACATCTGAAGCTGAATCATTATAAATTATTCCTGCTTGGTGACTCTCATGGGACTCTCATTCTGGTTAGAAACTACCTTGTGACCACAATGGGATGGGGCTCACCCCATATTTATTTCAGTTTTCTATTAGTACATTTGATGTACATGTTTACATTCAACTTAAGCAGTAGGTATGTGTACTTAACATATCTGAATTCTTTTTATTCCCCCTTCCTCTCTCTCCTTCCTCTATCTCTGGATTTTCTTCCCTCATTTTCCTCTTCTCCCCTTTCCCCTTCCCTTTTTCTTCATCATCATCATCATCATAGCTCATGTTTGTGACATATAATGTTCATATTAATTGTTAGGTTGGTACATGCACATGACACATCTTCCTCTCCCCTCACCCTTGGTCTCTCTGTTCCCTTCCCATTTGCATAAGATCTATCCCCCTGTTTCTTTTTCTCTCTTTTATTTTGCTCTTTACTTTATATTTACTTTGAATTACTCATATGAGAGAAGTCATATGGTATTTAAGCTTGTGTGTCTGATTTATTTCAGTTAACGTTTTCAAGGTGCATCCATTTTCCTACAAATGCCTCATATCTATCCTTCCTTATGGCAGAGTAGTACTCCATTGTGTATAGATATCACCTTTTATCCACTCGTCTATTGATGGATATATAGGCTGCTTCCAAGATTCAGCTATTATGAATAGTGCTGCTATAAATATGGGTATGCATGTATTACTGTACTATGATGTCTTTAACTCTTCTTTTTTTGGTACCAGGAATTGAACTCGAGTCCTGCGCCTGCGAGGCAGGCAGCAGAACCACTGAGCTAAATCCCCGGCCATGATGTCTAAATATCTTTTCGGAAGATATTTAGAAGGGGAATAGCTGAGTCAAATAAAGCTTTTAATTTTAGGTTTTTGAAGAATTTTCATAGAGGTTGTACTAGTTTACATTTCCACCAACAGTGTAGAAGGGTTTCTTTTCCCCTACATCCTCACCAGCATTTGTTGTTATATGATTTCTTGATGATGGGGATTCTTTCGGGCTAAGATGGACTCTCAGTGTTGTTTTAATTTCCCCGTATTTAATGTCATGCATTGCAGACGGCAGTGCCCAGATAGTGCTAAATACTGCCATCCTAAAAGTAAGGTCAAGCTTCTTTTAATAATTTAGTCTGAGTGAATTCTTAAAGAGGATATGATTTCTGCACAGCTAGGTTTCTAGGCTTCTGTTCAATCCAATCTTCCAAAGATACAAAGGGAAATGATTTCATTTAATATGATGACAAGAAATACAAAGTAAATCCAAAATCTATTTCAGAAAACATTGTCCTAAAAAAGTAAGAAATTGGGGATAACTTCATCTTAAATATTCATCTATCGTAATAGATTAGATGGAAAATAAAATACAGAGAATTGCTTACCAGTGTCCATAATCAATATGCTGCCGAATCAGAGTGTGTGGCTGAACAGTGCCATATGAATCCACTTCAGGCATATTCATGTCATCAATGAAATAAACCAATTTTTTATTTCCTCCTGGGCCATAGTTACGGCCAGCTTTTTTCTCTAGAGGTTTCTCAAGAATTCCTAAAAGAAAGACATAATCTTGTCCACCAATGACCGACAGGATGTACACATCCTGACCTTTGTTACTTTTCCATATTCCTTGCCTCTTCTGTTGATTCATTCATCCCATGGTTTCAGGTATCACCTGCCTATAGTTTAATACCAGAAATGTGTCTCTGGTCATCTTCTGTGTCAGACTCTCCTGCTGACCTCCATCTTGGGGCCAAAGGTTACACTGCCTCTGCTTTTCTGGAGACCTCACACTGTCCACTGCCTAGAGCTGATCTCACCATGACCTGTGTGCTGTCCTTCCCTGTGCCCACTGCTACAAGTGGCCAGAGCTGGCCACAGCCTGGTCTTTCAGTCCTTCTCCGCCATCCATGCAGGAGAGTCTGGAACAGCTGAAGAAAATCTCCCACACCTCTTGCCTTGGGCCAGTGGAGCACAAGGCACAAGAGGACAGTGCCTGTCGACTCTGCCTATATGATCCATGCCTGGATCCCCATGTATATAACAGGAGATGCACTTACTCTGCAGGGCTGCCGATGTCGTGTAGTAGTTGAGAGGCACATGGGATACCATGTAGTCCTCCGGCAGACTTGCCAGTATATCATCCACAAAGACCGTTTTCCCCACTCCTGCATTTCCAACTACCATGAGTGGCTTTCCTTTTTCAAGCAACAATTCAATGAAATACCTAAGGCGAGTTGTCTCTGATGTGTGAACCAGAACTGTCTGAGAAAAAAAGGAAAGAAAGCTCAGAAAGATGGAGACACATTCCAGAATTCTGTATCTGACCCAACACAGTCACTTTAGAACCATGATCCAAAGAATTCTTGGGTCAAGTTAACATCCAGTAGGACAGGTTTTACCTAAGTTGTACATATTCATCACATAGGCAGGTATTCAAAGTGAACATATGAGGAGATTTTTGTGATTACTTCTGCTTCAGAGATAATGAAGCTGAAGCTTACAGAACATAAATACCTTGGCCAATGTCCTAGCTGGCTAGTAAGTGGTGATGCTTGAATCCAAACCAAATCTATCTGGAGCTTGAGCTCGGTGCTCTTCAGAGCATAAACTCCAGAGCCAGCCTGCCAGGCTTTAAATCCTGCTCTCCTTGTTTCAGTGTGACCAATTACTCTCAGTTTGCCCAAGATGTCTTGATTTAAAAATTCGAAGCCTCCTCTTCTGGAATCTCCCTCACTCCTGGGCAAACTAGGACCACTGGTCATTCTGTATTTACTACCAGCGTAACTGTGGACACATTTGTTACTCTCTGTGTCTCTGTTTTTCCATAAGTTAAAAAGGGTTAGTAAGAGTCCATGTCTTATCAGACTGTTTTCAAAATTAATTAATCCACATAAAGCACTTAGAAAAGGGCCTGATATACAATATTAAAATATTACTATTTGCTATTATTATTGACTTCCTGTGGTTCTTAATATGTTAAGCCACTGTTAATCAAATAACCACACTTAATAGAACTACATGTAAAGTAAAACTACAAAGCCTTCCGGTTCTCTGTTAAATAAGAGACATTACTGATAAGGCTCATCAATCTCAGGATTCCAGTTTTTAGGTCATCAGTGTTCTTGGCTGACTACAAGTTCTCAGCCAAGAGGGTAACACTGCCACCGCCGTGGGCCAGAAGGCCAGAGCTCTGAGTCAAAGAGGATTATTTTCAGGGATAAAAATCTAATTAAATTTGTTTTGCTAGGTTTTGAGCTTTTGGACCTAGAACCTCTTTCCTCTGATTTCTCCCTTTTGGAATAGAAATGCCTTTCCTGCAACTTCCACTGTATTTTGAAAGCAAGTAACTTCTCTGGTTGTACAGATTCACAGCTGGGGAGAATTGTGTCTCAGAGGGGTCAGGTCCCACTCACACCTAAGCGAGACCATGCTGGGTGAGGCTGGGGCTCTCAGTGCATGCTGGGATGAGTCCTTACGAGAAGGAAAACTCAGGCACATCACATGCCAGGAGAGTGGCCTCAGGCACAATGAGACCTGCCAGCTGGTCAGTACTAGACTAGCCTTCAGACTGCCGGGAGATAAAGCCACCCAGGGTACAATACTTTGTTATGGCAATTCCAGCAAGCTCCAGGAAGGAGAGGAGGTTCCTAACCCAGTATAACCCAATATCCCTGGAGTCCTTGTAAACAGGCTGATTTACACACACACGTGCACACACACACACACAGAGTGGGGAGTGTGCACAACTGCCAGATGAAGACTACGGTTAAGCTGCCAGAAGCCAGGGAATACCAGGATTCCTGGCAAAGTACCAGAAGCTGGGAGAGAAAGACTCACAGCCTCCAGAAGGGACTAATCCTGCCAAACCTGCGGTTTGGAGCTCGTAAGTTCCTGTCATTTCACTCACCTAGTCTGTGTCACTTTGTTAGGGTAGCTCCAGGAAGCTAGTGCCTTGGGTTTTCTGTTATTTGAGGTTAGCTGTCTCCTGATTAGTGGAAATCAGCAATATTCTCTTCATACAGCACTACTTCAAACAGTAAGCTCTGGGAAGGGTAGGGAATGGTGGTGCATGCCTGTAATTTCAGCTCTCAGGAAGCCGAGGCAGGAGGAACATAGTGAGTTCAAGGCCAGCCTGAACTACACAGTGAGATATTGTTTCAAAAAAATACTAAGCTCCAAAATGAGTCAGGGTGGCATGATGTGAAGAAAGAAACAGCATGAAAAGGAAGATTAAAGCAGAAAAATACGGTCAAAGAATAACTCAGTCTAAAACAAATGTAGGTGGGTAATCTATGAAGAGAAACAATGAAGAAAAAGACAACAATTCATTTGGATTTATCAGTTAGTTGCCCTGGGATTTTTGAAACATACGAGTTCAGGAGATTAAACACATCCATTTTATGGCTGGGGGTAGAAGAAGGAAGTGAAAAATGCTGCTTTGGGAATTTACATAAGGTCAGAAATAAGAATCACTGAATTAACAGAACTATGCCTCCAATTTTCACAAAACTTGTGAAGTTGCTAGGAAAATACAAAGAAAGCTATTACCACAGAGACTGAAATAAAGTTTTTCTTTTTTAAAAAAAGAGGTTGCAAAAATATAAGCCATCTCTCTAAGCATTCCTATAGTTCAAATTATTTTCTCCTAGGGAAAAATGCTACAATTGCGGAACACACTAACACAATAATTTCTCTATCTGGTGAGACAGACTGCTTTTTTTTTTGGTACCAGGGATCGAACTTGGGTCCCTGTGCTTGTGCAGCAGGCAGCAAAACCACTGAGCTAAATCCCTGGCCCCAGACTGCTTTTCAAGGACTGCTTTTTAAATCAGCAGACTGTTGAGAGAACACTGCCGTTCCCCACTCCTACCTGAAGAGGAGCATCAGGATCCATAGTAAGCTGGGGGATCTTGTCTGCCCAAGGCAAGAATTTCTTAGTTCTGTGGTCCAGATAATAATCAAAGATTGTTCCCTGGGATGGAAATTTCACTGCTTTCATCTCTTTATGCCACCACTGACTAAAGTTGGCTTGATTATCAGAAAGCTGAGGAGAACAAGAGAAATCCTTATTGCAGACTTAAAGGTAATTTTGGAAACGCACAAAGCCCCTCCAAATCCTGCTCCGCACAGTGTTCACGTTGCACTGGGCCAAAACCACGAAGCAAACTCCAGGTACGGAACTGAGTATCACACCAAGAGCAAGAGCTAGATATTGTTGTAAGGAGTGACACTACCACAGGGGTACAAAGCTTTGACTGACATAAAGCCATGAGGTACATATTTAGGGGAATAATCATCCTAAAAAACAAAGTCAAAGTCAAGTCAGGTGAACCTTAGGGTACTCCTTGGTTATTTCATCTAACAGTGAATTATGGAAATTACTATGCTGGATTCCACAACACAATGGTAATCAAAAATAGGTATTGATTTCTACCAATTTTTTCCCCAATTCATGGCAAAATAAGAAAAATAAGGACAATGGGGTACTTAAAAAATTGGTAACATTATTTGATTTAAATACTGTATCTGAGTTTACAGTTTCTTTGGCACTTTTGTTGCTAAAATTTTTTTTTTCTACAAAATTATGGTGATAGCAAATAGTACTTTGGATAAATTTCTTTACTTAAAAAGTAAATGGCCGACAACTCTGCATCATTGCCACAGATCACTACTGCTGAAAGGAGGGAGGGAGGAAGAAAACATGGACTCGCTTTCCACCAGGAAACATGGAGAAGTCCAGCTGAAAATGCACAGAGAACGACTCCTGTCCTGCAGGAGGACTAGATGGCAGCAACCAGGCTCTCTGGACCAGGAGGTGCTTGTTTTTATATAAGGATGGGTATATGTCCTTGTTCCTAGATTAGGGGTTAGAAAATAAAAGCAAATGGTAATTGTGTACCAATTACAATCAAAACCTTTGACCTGGCCTCTTATATCCACAGGCTAGCCTGGCCTAAGTGAATTCTGGTAAAATCTAAAAACACTCTGTGTGTTCACTGCCATTAGCAATTGTGCCCTTTATTTAAGACCACAACTCTTATTTCCCTGAAAACCCTCCCTTTTTTTGCATTGTCCTGTGTCCTCGGACTATGGCTCCCTCTTAGTCCTGGGCTGGTCACACATGAGTGGAGACAGGTGGGCCACAAGCCAGGAATGAGAGCAGTGCTGACAGCAAGAGGGCCTCTGCCCTGTCCTCCAGTTCCCCGACTCATGCAGTAATGAATTTAGGATCAGTGAAGTGTGTTTTCAGATCAGCAGCATGTAACATTTTATCACCCTGAAAAATCCAGTTTTAAGCCAAATCAAGCCTGTATTAAATAATTCACAGACTGTTACTGACCTGGCACCATTCTCTGTAGCAATGTACAGATGACTCCTATCTTCCATCAAAAGGTACTCCTAACAATTACATCAGTAAAATTATTTTGGTGACAAATTGTTGATACCTCAATTCCTTCAAATGAAATGCATTTGCTCTACAGTAGGGCAGAAAACAAACAGGATCTCAGCCCTCACAGGGTCTGTGGGGAAGGCATGGGGATATGAGGCAGAAGGAAAGGCAAAGCTGACAAATGCAGAACTAAGTAGGACCTTTGAATATGAAGTCAGCTATGTGTGAGAGCAACAAGGGTGGCTGACTTTAACCGAATGTCTGGGAAAGCCATCTTTGAGGACAGGCCCAGATTAAGGACCAGACCAGTGGTGGTCGACCTATGGCACCCATGTTATCGTGTTTTGCTTTTCAGACAAAAGATGTTAACATATGAGTTGTTTTCTTTCTAAACTAAAACCTCAGTATTCAGGCTTAATTGCAGTGTTGGCACTTTGCAATAAATAAGTGCGGTTGCCGTTTGGCACTCGATCTCTATAAGGTTCGTCATCAAGGGGCTAGAGCATTCCAGGAAGTCTAGCATATGTGAAGATCCTGTGGTTTCAAAGTATTTGGTTTGCTCTAAATCTGACCGGTACCAGTGGGATGGGCTGGAGAACAAGGAGTGACAGAGGAAGAAGCAGTAGGGAAGAAGAGACAGGGACAGAGCCAGACGCCTTGCAGATAGGATTAAAACGCTTAATCTTATCTTAACGGCAATAGAAATCTATTAAAGTCATTTAATCTCTGAAATATATCATATGATTCAAATTAAGTTTCAAGAAATGACTGACTGCTAAGTGGACAATGAAGCATGGGGACACACTTAGAAGCAGAAAGGCCAGCCAATGGGCTACTTCAGAGGCCAAGTGAAAGGCGCTGGCTACTTGTGGGAGGGATTGGGTTGAGACTCACCTTAGGGGCTGTTTGCAATGGCCTGGGTGAGGAGCACAGGTCCTGGGTCATCTGGGGTAGTTTGAACCTGCCTCAGGCACTGGTTAGCCTTGTGCCTGCTAAGTAGGTTTCCTTGCTTCTCTAAACTTTCATTCATTATTTGTAAAAGGAGAATAGCTGTACCCGTCCGTGTAGGTTTTTGTTGCTTTTGAAGGCTATACAATGTGGCCTATGAAAAGGCCATCTTGTCTGACAGGTAACAACGCTCAACATGCTCAGCTCACTGATGGTGAGTACCCGAGGTCACTCCTCTTCTGCTTCAGTAACACCCTTACCCCACAGCCTCTCCTGGAAACACTTGTCTTTAGAGTCCTTTTGGAAACGTAAAGATGATAAACATAATGTTGACTGTTTGTTGTGGAAAGAGTGTATGGGAGCCAAAGACAAGCAAGACCCAGCTTGTGGTGAAAACAACTCAGCAAAGGAAATTGGAAAGACTCAGGGAGAATGTGCTGGGAGGGAGGGAAGAGCACACCAGGAGGGGTAAGATCTGAGCTATCCACAGCCCTCCTGACTTATAGTCCTGGGAAAGGAGAAAAACGTGAAGGACAATGAAAGAAACACCACAGGGGAAGTGGAGTCTAGCTGATCTCTGTGAAGGAGAAAACCACACACACAGTAAGCTTTGCCTTCGAGAAAACCACAAGACGTGCCTGTGTGACTCTCTCTCATAGAGGCACTGGCTGCTCTTCTGAGAAGCCCTTGGTGACTAGAGAAGAAAATGTGGCTTCTGACAAGGACTGAAATGAGATCTATGAGGCCAAATGATTCCAAATTTATTTATAGATGTGGGTTATGGTAACCAGAAGCAGAACCAACCCACAGGGTATGTCAGCCATTTGTTTTGGAAGTAACACCGAGGAAATGAATGGAAACATGGGTCAGTCTTGGCTGTGATGCTGTCCTATAGAAATCCCGTTTATGCTGGAACATCTCAGGAAGCCAGGAAAGCATGTGTCATCTATTATTAATGTAAAGATTCAGGGTACCAGGGAAGCATAATGACCATGAGAGATCTTGAGGTCCCATGAAAGATGTGGTTTCTGGGAAGAAACCAAAGTGGGCGGGAATCGTGCCACTTCATCTGATCAGAGGGACCGTGGGCAAGGTATTTTACTACTCTGAGCTCGATCTCCTCTGTCTGCACCATGAGTGAAGAATTTTTGACACAAATCATGAGAAAAATCTACATTAGAGGTGGATGATGGAGATGAGACCCCCATGTTTCCCGCAGCTTGGTGGGTCTAAGCAGTGTGTGTGTGTGTGATATTTCCTACAGGAAATGAGAAGCCATAATATGGCTATGAAGAAACGCTGGGCATGTGACAGGTTCACTTCAAGGTACAGACCAATAAAAAGAAACTGGTGCAGGGCTGACTATGGCTCACAAATGCTGACCCTGGGAATAGCGCGGGGGACTGATGAGAGGGGAGAGTGACAGGAGGGAGAAGGCCCATTTGAAGGTCACCATATACTGTGATCTGAATTGCACCATCCCATTGTACACACAGAAACCCTAAGGGCCCCCTGACAGAATCTGGAATGAAGCTTTAGATTCTCATGAAGTCATGACAGTGGGACCCTCATGATGGAAAAGTGGCCTTGTATGAAGAGACACAGCACTTTCTCTATCACATGAGGATGTAGTGAGGACCCAAAAGATGACAGTCCTCACCGGAACCCAACCATGGAGGCGCCCTGAGCTTGGATTTCCAGCTTCTAGCACCATAAATAAACTTCTGTTGTGTAAATAGGATGCGTTGTGGCACCTGAGCTGACAATGCTACTATGAGAGTTCAGGGCAATGTAGAGGTGATCTGCTCCTGAATTAAGGTTGCAGGGAGGAAGAGGAAGAGGAAGAGGAAGAGGGAAGAGGGAGGGGGGAGGGGGGAGGGGGGAGGAGGTGGAGGAGGCTGCAGTGGAGGAGGAGGTTGTCTTCCCAGCTACTTTGTAAGTGAACTGAGTGACTGAGATTATGGAATACAGAAAAAGGAAGAGAGGCCGGGGATTTAGCTCAGTGGTTTCGCTGCCTGCTGCGCAAGTGCAAAGACCCCAGTTCGATCCCTGGTACCAAAAAAGAGAAAGGGTCCCAGGTTACCTGGAGAAGCTGAGGAGAAAAAAATAAAAATAGAAAAGAGGGGCAAATGTGGGGGTGGGGTGGGGCTGGGGTGGGGCTGTGTCTCAGGCACACAGAGGTGAGGCCTTGGCAGCAAGTGGAGACACAGAGCCTGAGTTCAGAAGGACAAGCTGGGCTGAAGGCTACCGATTGGCATTGTTGGCCGCTGATGATAGCCATCAGCCTGGACAGGACTGACTGCAGAATGCACAGGCTCAGGAGAAACAGGGCAAGTACAAGAGATTTACACTAACTAAGAAAATGAATATGGTAAATGTTTAAATTAGAAAAAAGTCACTACAGTAAAAGACGCATTACCAACAATGAAGGGATCAATGTGTTAAAAATGAAGAATATTTTGAGGCAGATTAATGGCAATGTGTCTTTTACTATAATGTATTTAATTTAAACATTCACTGTAGTTTTTGTTCACACCTTGAATAGCAATGCCACCTCCACAAATAAAACTGGTTTCCTAAACTGTCAGCATACCTGGTCATGCAGCAGGGTGCCTCCGAATGCCCAGATGCAGGCAAAGACAAAATAGACTTCGTAAACTTCTTTTGGGCTGTCAGAAGGCACATTTTCAGGAGTCAACAAACAGTCCAAAAGCGCACAAACGGTCTGAAGAGAAATAAACAGCAATTAATTTAGGGCAGTGGTAGTGTAGTAGTTGAATAGATTCAAAGGACTTTACAATGCCACTTTATTCTTAAAGGATTTTATGATTTTCAAAATTCTAATTGCTATACTGGGAAACACAAAAATTACTGCATCATGTGTCTAAGTCAAAAATGGAATATTTTTTGTCACTTTTAACTCACTTGATCTTCTAAGTAATAAAAACAAATTAAAAAACAAATTTTAAATGATTCAATTAATAACCACTGGATAAACCAGAAATGTACATAATAAAATATATAAAAATAAAAATATATATTTATGTTCACTTTTTTAAAGTTGGGAGTTATACCAACATGGCATTCTATAATCTACTTTTCCATTTAAGAATGTACTGAAGATGTCTTTCCTTATCCTTACCATCAGGAATGTCTTCCTAAGATTCTGTTGGATGGACAGGCATTTACTGAACTATTTCCCTCCCTGCGGACACTAGGTAACCTACTTCCCTTAGTTCCCTGGCAGCCATTTTTTCCACCTGTTGTCATAACTTTAGAAAGTTGGACTTAATCTGTAGCACTTTTTTGGACACAAGATTAAATTTAACCTTGGAAGAAATACTGATCAGAAATTTGTTCTTCATGCCCTCCAGGTGAAACAGTAACATTTTCTGTTGGTCTGAAGCATTCCCAAATTCAGGGCAAACTTGTCAGTTCTAAGGGGAAACATGGCTGCAGGAGAGGCCTTTACCATATGGAATAATAATGGTAATGAACACGTTTTGGGGCTAGTTTCCTAATGTACAATAATAGCTCTCATTAATTAGCACTATCACAGACCCTAGACTCAAGACACTCTTGCTCCAGTTTTTGGAGCCAGCAACAGAATTTTATCACGATCAAACAGACAGCAGTGGAAATATGCTATAGTGTCTGTGCCTTTCTTTTCTAGTCAAGGAAGATGGGAAAATATTTTTCATGTAAATAGCTGAGCACTTGCTGTATCTTAGAATCTCTTTTGACTTCTCTCTTGCACTGTGCCATGTTTGCCAATTAGAAGTAATGTTTTAACAAAACCTACCAATCTTTCATCAAGAAAAATAGTGCAAAACTTGAAAGCTTTGCTATTTCTGAGTAGAAATGTACTGGTTAAAATAAAAAAACGACTGATGGGTCTCAATGTGATTTTATCAGGTGAACATTCCCTCTACCAAGTCTTAAGATTCTTCCATTTTTCTCACAATCACGGTACTGGAAAACATTTTGAGCTCTGTATCGGCAACTAATATAAATTATATTTATATTTTAATGCATACTCCAAAGGTTATTATACTTTACTGAATGTAAAGAAGTTTTATATACTTGGAGATACATGCATTAATTTTTTAAAGATAGCCATTTAAAATTAGTCTCTTTTCCACTCATTTTTATAACAAATTCCTATACTCATAAGCAACCACAGAAAACAGACTATAAAACAACAGCCTAAAAGGAGCTAAGGATTAAATGCCATGCCTGAAAACTACAAAAGGAGGAAGAGCAGAAGTCACATTAATTCTTACTGACCTATTTTCACAATACTCTTGAATGAAAAAGTTCACACCACAGAGAATCACACAAATATACAAGTCAACTTGAGAAAGAACACGATCATGGTTTTTGCAAGTATTACACCAGAGGAAGTCTAATTAGGCTAACCACATAATTAATTCATTATGAATAAATTCAGACCTGCTTTCAGAAATAAATTATACCTCAGATAATTACTGTTGAATACTATCGTTTACTTAATTGGTGTGTGAATTATCCAAAAACCTGAACTTTCCCTTCTTATTATGCTTGCAACTATTTCTAATTTAGCTTCAAACAAATTTGGTAACATAGTAACTTAATGGTAACAAAGTACTTACAAACCAATTTTGCTCCTACAGGAATAAAAAAGAGGCCTGAAATTGTAAACCTGTTGTGAATTTGATACACATACAGGCTGGGGACAGTTTTTCTTCATGCTGAGATTAGGAACACAACCTTCATTTCTGTGTATTGTGAATTACTTTCATTTGCTTCCATGACAACAAATCATATATTCCCTTTACTCTTACCAGCTGTCTCACAATAAGGATCAGAAAAAAAAAATCTCTGGAATACTATGAACTCTTTATCCCAACTGACACCCCTTCAGGAATATTTTAGGGAGGAGAAGTCTGTGGGTGGTGACATCTGTGTGGAAGAATTCAGATGCTTCCCCTTATCACCTGGTTGGCATCTTTAACTGCATAAATTCATTTTATTCAAAAAACATACTTGGTACCTCCTCCGGGTAAGTTATATAGGCTCTAGAAAAACAAGTAAGGCCGTTCCAACTTTGCTCTTCTAATTTGTGCTAATACCCTTGGGAGGAACTTGACTCAATACATATGTATTTGGCATCTACTATATACTCAGAACTATGTAAATGTCTGGGACTAGAAAATGAATAAACCATGGCTTTGGCTCTATAGTTCAGAGTCTTAGAGAAAGAGACCATGAGCTGAAATGACAACATAGAGTGACAGTGCATGTCAGGGGCTTGCAAAAAGCTCCAGAGAAGCCTGGGGGCTGGGACTGGAGGGTTGGAGCATCCTAACAATTCCAGAACGGTTTCTGTCCTCTTGAGGAAGCAGAAACTCTTGTCTTGGTCAAGCTCCAACAGGCTTCAACTAGAATGTTGCATGGTATCTTTGAAGACAAACCTGTACCAGGCTGTTTTCTGGAATAGAGGTGATGGTTTTGAAGCTGGTTCTCAGCTTATCCAAACATGCAGGAATGTATTTATCAAAAAGAATAGTTAAATTGGCCTTTTCTGATTGATGCCGCCTTCTGTCTATCCAACTGGCCACATACCTGAAAAGGAACACAGAAAAGCTTTTACTGAACACAAGGCTTGAAAAGCAGAATTTCACCATGTCCAAAGCTCTCCCTTAAACACAGCTTGGTGCAATGCTTCCTGGACATATTTAGAGCCTTCACTCTATTTCTCAAACTGCAAGTATTTTTAAATGCCTCTTTAAAAACTTGTTTTAATGGACATTTTTACCTTAATGAAAAGAATGTAAAAGAAACTCCTAATAGCACTTAGAAGCCAAACATAATAGAGTATAAGTAGGCTATTACTGAGCATTTAGAAGGAAGTACAGTATGTCATTTCCTAAGGGACGGAAACTATTTTCATGGTAGAGGCCTTATTTATGAAAACAGCTTGGTATCCCTCTTGATTAATCTTGGCATCAACTATTTAGTAATGAGAAATCAGTTACAAATAAAGAGGAGAAAATTCCATAGGAGCTATTTTAAATTTCCTCCTTTTCCATTGGACTCAATGTAATGCCAACTTGATAGCTGATAATGTGTTTCCGCTAAGGGGCTCTGAGATGGTTATCTCATGTTTAGAAATCTATCTATCTATATCTCACACACATACATATGTATACACACATATATATAAATATCTCAGCTGTTTCATGAGTATCAGAAAATCATATATATAATGAAGCTTGTATATAATCCCAAATATATACATGTCTGAAACACAAAATATTAATTTTGATACATTAAATATCTTTAACATATAAACAGACTACTTATCAATAATATAAAACAAAGCATGACTCTGTGGCATCCATAATAGTTTCTGGAGTGAAACTAAGAGATGCTAAATGAAAAAAAAATCTTTCACAAAGGTCTGATTAAGCAGGAAGTAGTGGTAATAAATACATTTGGCAGCCAGCACAGAAGCAGTGTGATCATACTTTACTATAAAACAAATTTGATTTTGCATTTTGAATATCAGAAGAAATTAAAGTAAAATGATTATGTTACTAAAGGCACCTTTTGCTTTTCACAAGATGTCACTATAGGGTTTTATTAAACAGTCAACAACTTCACACTGTTAGAGTTGTCAGAAGGTTTTTGAGGCTAGGAGGAATGGTTTTGAGTGGGAGTCCACTTGCAGAAGAGTAATTTGGTGGAGGGTCTCCGTGTCAGTGACGGTGGGTGACACAGGACAATGCAAAGCAGGTGCTAATGATGGGGACAAAGACTCTTCCCCTCTCAGAAGAGCTCCAGGTTTACCACACGAAGTCTAAATACCAGTGGTTTGGAAACTGTCTAGGTAACCAAAATCTTCTGGAGCCTGACACCTTGTAAAGTTATTGCTTAATAGTCTGGTGTTGGATCCTATCAGGACAGCGGGAAATCTTCAGATTTACAGTCTGCCCTGCATGTGAGCTTCACATCTGTCATTCACCTGGAAGAAGGGATGAAGTTAGTGGTACAGGCTGAGCCACAGTGCATGCCTGTATTTCTGAATCTCTATTTTTATAAGTATATTTAGTCTCTAAAGACGAGAGAATGGCACTGAAGGGGTGGAAGACAGAAAGCTCATCCAACCCAAAGGAGAAAATTACACAAAGCCAAAAGAATATTTTAGGCTAGCATAATGGGGGAAAGAGGACAATCTAAAGTTGTGGCTTTCAAAGTTATCTACTAGTAGTAACTTCTTTTGGAATCAGATTAAATTCCAGATGTAACTTCAGTTTCTTGTTATTATGTATAAACTAACTAATCCATTGTTAGGCAGATCCCATTCTCAGTGATATAATCAACTCATCTACAAATAATTTATATAATTACAAATGAATTTAAAAAATTTATTACCTGTAATTTTTCCCTTATTATATAGTCTCATCCCTTTCTACTACAAAAAAACTGTCAACGACTATCATCTTCAGAAATTTTTTTCTAATTCTGCTTTAATTTTTATGATTTCAATAGATATATGCGAATTGTTGAGGATTCTTCTAGTAAACTTACTTAGGACTGATTAAAATAGTATTTGTTTAATCTTAAATGGTTCATATCTGTAAAATGTGGACACAAAATTAATTTTAGGGAATTTTAATAAAGATGTTTCAAAAAGTTTAAATGATAATGGTACTATCTTTATTCCTTCAAGGAACCCTGTGAAGATAATATGAACATACTGTTTCATAATCTCTCCTACACATAAAATTTTTTCATTACTAGTGTCTGTAATACATGAAGATTACATTCACCCTGGAGAATTGGTACATATACATACTGCATCTTGATCATTTTAACTCCCCTGTACCCCCTCTGCCCTCCCCTCTTCCTCCTTCCCAGATTCTCTTCCCATCTCCACAGTTCCAGTTTTCTGATATGAATAAAAAATATACGTCCTAGTTCCTCTGGTTGAAAGGGCTTGCAAACAATGCCATACCAGTAGCAATGAGCACAATGAACCAGGAGTGAATTCTAAATATCATTGCTTATAGTAAAGTCCTTCTTTCTGGTTCTTTGGAGAAATGCTGATTTAGGTATCAAGCAAGGGAAGTGAGAGACAAATCAAAAGCATCTTGTTTAGCCAGGAAGCAAAGTGCCAAAGACTTAAAGGACAGGTGAAAAAGAACACAGAAGAAACAGTTTGAAGAGGCACCTACTGGTAACATTCTGTGACAATATGAGAACCCAAAAGAATCTTGGCAATGAAAGAAACCATAAATTAAAAATTACAGGAAGGAAGGAAAGGAAGGAAGGAAAAGGGGGGAGGAATAGATGTGAGAAAAAAATTGTTTGCAGTAAAATGTCACCTAATGTATGTAAACAGAATAAATGACTTAGAAAATTACCACTTCACAACCACCATTGGGACATCCTTTGAGACACTTGCCTTGCTTGCTCCCAAACTGTAAATGTTATGACATTAAAGGTGACAACGGGAGACAAGTAAATGCAGTGTATGATATTTGTTTTGAGTTCTATAAAAAAGGTACAAAGGAAAATACTGGGGAAATTAGTACAGTTTTAAAAATGGTAGTTTATTTGATAATATTAAGAATAAATTTCTTACGTATGTTATATTGTATTTATATAGGAGAATATCCTTTTTCCTAAAAGCTAAATGCTAAAGTACTTAGGGATAAAGTATCTTATTATCTCTAACTTACTTTTAGATATTTCTACAAAAATAATAAAAGAAAATATGTCTGTATATCAGAGAGAGAGAGAGAGAAAGAGAGAGAGAGATTGAGATTGTACGGCTAGAGCAAAACCACTGTAGTAAAATGGTAACAAGTGGTGACTGAGGAACAGCTCTCTGTGGTGGTACCTTTTCAACTTTTCTATAGTTTTGAACACTTTGAAGCAAAAAGTTTGGGAAAATTGAAACTTAAAATAGTGGTTTGGAAAATTAGGTTAAAAATTGTATTGATCTTAGAAGATAATTGAATATTGAATCAATACATGCAAAACCATCGCACTATAACTCTAAGGAAAGGTAGTACACTATCCAATAATTACGGAGTGAAAAACATCCCCTGAAATAGCCATTTTGTGGTGGCTTCCTGAAACTTTCTGGCAACAGGAGGTAAAAATATTAAAATATCCTTTAAAAAAGATTTTCATTTTTTTGGAAAATGACTTGGCTGGGTCCTTTTGTCACACAAATGAACATTAATGATCTTAGATAATTCAAAAACTTATATAAAAATAAAAGTTAATAGTGAAGAGGACACTATTTAATTTGGCTAAGAATACAAATTGGGTGTCTCTTCAAGCAACCTGGGCCTTCTGAGGTACTGGATAAAAGTCCTTCTTTGGGGAGTGAGTCTGAGCTTTTGTCAGCACAAATCTCCACATGATGTGACTGAGTCTGAATGCCATGGGAAGTGGGAGCTGTGAGGTCACTACTGAAATCACACCACTGCAGTAGGGGTGAGGGATCCCCTAAAGGAGGTGAGCACCTGAACCTTGCACAGGAGCCTGTGCTTACAGTATGGGGGTCAAGAGGGACACTGGGGAGACTGCAGCCAACCACATCCCCAGAAGCACTCAGGAGATAGCATTCTACAGGGGAAAGGAGAAATCAGCTCAAGAGCATCTCTCCATTCACGCATTTAAGAAACACTCCTTCCCCTGGCCACATCCAATAAAGCTCTGTTAAACACAGAAGCCTGGGGATGGCTTCACTTTGCTGCAGAGGTGAGGATATGACTTTTAGTGAGAAAATCAGTACACAGAGGAAAAGCGCCCAGGAGGAGGGTACCACCTAGCATCTGGCAGGAAACAGGTGTCATCCTTAGGATATGGAAGGACTGATGAAGGGCTGGTTCCAAAGTAGTAGCAAGGAAGAGAAACTGGAGGGAGAGTGACATGGGTGTGCTGAACTGTGAGTCTGGACTGTTTCCTGAAGACCCATGCATTAAAGGCTTGGTTCCCAATCTGTGGTACCTTTGGGAAGTGTGGAGTCCTTACGAGGGGTAGAGTGGGGGGTTAGGTCCTTGAGGGGTATGGGATATCTGTCCTCCTATCTCTCTTGGCCAGAAGGTGAAGAGTTCTGCTCCACCACAAGCTCCCACCATGACTGGCTGCTTTGCCACCAACAAAAAAGCACAGGAGGCAGCCTCCTGCCTCAGATTCCATGGACTAGAATCTCTGTGACTGTGGGTCAAAATAAATCTTCTGTTTAGAAGTTGCTTATTCAGAGATTTGTAATAGTGAGGAAAAGCTGAGTCACTCAGGGTGATAATAAGGAATGGTTACCACACCTGTGCCTGCAGGAGAGTGGAAGAGTGGCAGAACCCAGAGGGAGGGGATCTCACAGGAAAATCCAAGGGAGACAGTCACCTGCAATTTAGGGACACAGCCATCCTGATGTGACCCGGCAAGGGTAGAGCCTGAAATAAACATAGCCCCTCCTCACTCCTCTCTCCCCTTGTTTCCTTCCAGAGCTCCTCACTAACCAAGCCAAGCAGATGCCAGGGGCAAACAGCCCACCAATGGGCTTCCCATGGGTCAGTCTCCCAGGGCACAGGGCAAGGTGAGCAGGAGGAAGTGTGTTTCTGCAGGGCTCAGCAAGACATCTGACACGGCAGCAGGTCTGCCCCAGCACGTGGCACCATAAAGTGACAAGTGGCCATGAGGACACACGGTGGAAAATGTAACCATTTGGGAGAATAAGCTTTGACCAAAGTATTTCCACTGCTCATATATATGTATCATATGCACAAACATACATCTTGTTAGATGGTTTATGTATCGAGGTGCTTCATTCAAGGTTTTATTCACTTATTCAAGAAATATTTACTGAGTTCTTAACATTTTCTACATGTTTGGTCAAAGTATTATTCAAATTAAAAATGAGAAAAGCACCCATCCAGGTGCTAATTTAATAAATTAGCCTAATTAATTAGGCTTAAATTTAGCTATATCTTCTTTAGACACTCATTTGAACCTAAGAATTAAAATTATGTACAATGACAAAAAACCCAATCTGATCACAAAATGAACAAAGGACTTAGGTAGATATTTTTCCAAAAGAGATGACTGAATGACCAATTAGCACTTGAAAACATGCTCCATATCACTAATAATTACAGAAAAAGCATATTATAACTATAATGATAGCACCTCACACCAATTAGCACAGCTACTATCAAAAGACAAGCAAACAAATCAACCTGTGAACAACAAAAAATTACAAGGGTTGGTGAGGGTGTAGAGAAACTGTGTGCACTTTCCTAGTGCACTGCTGGTGGAAATGTAAAATAGAAAGGTACTATGGAAAACAGTACAGCTGGTCCTTAAAAATTAAAAATAGAATTAACATATGATCAAGGCGTTCTACTTATGGGTATATACCCAAAATGATTGAAAACTGGAACATGAAGAAATCTCTCTATAGTGACATTTATAGCAGCATTAGTCACAGTGGCTAAAAGGTACAGAGGCTCAAATGTCCATCAAGAGGTGAATGGATAGGTAGAATGTGGTAATGTTATTCAGGCTTAAAGGAAGGAAATTCTAACACATACTACAACATGGATAAACTTTGAAGACAATAACTCTTAAGTGAAATAAAAGGGCAGGTACTATATGGTTCTTCTATGAGAGTTACTCAGAGTTGTCAAATTCAGACAGAAAATAGAATAAAAACTGCCAAGGAGCCGAGGAGGAGGAACGAGGAGTTATCATTTAACAGGTGCAGAGTTTCAGTTTGGGAGGATGAAAAAAGTCCTATGGATGGATGGTGGTGACGGTTGCATGACAATGTGAACACACTCAATGCCACTAAACTGTATGTTTAAAAATGATTTAAATGGTAAATTTTACATTATGCATATTTTTACAATACACAAAAAGAAATTAAGAAAGAAATACTCACGGATTCCAGCCCAAATCCTGTGGGTTCACATACAGAATACCAGCTCTGGAGACAGTGGCTGGGGTGGCTGTCCGCAAGTGATGTATCTCAAACAGAAGCCTCATGGAAGGAGTGAGGGCCACCCGCTCATTGCTGGCCAGGGTCAGCACCTGGAAACAGCAGCATGGCAGTCACTGGAGGCAAATCGGCAAGGGAGCAAAGGAACACTGCCAGCTTAGCATAGTAACCAGAGCACTCTCCCTAATAGATGGGCCAAAGGCTGTGAATCAAGATCTAAATTTATCCCTGAGGTGGCCTGACCAACCCTTGAGAGATAATGGACCCATGAAAGCCAACCTTTAAATGACTGCAGGAATTATTACTAAGCTAAGTATAAGTGGATTACGTGACAAAGCCCAAATAGCAAGGAAAATTAATTCTCTCCAGAATCTGAAACACCACATTTATCAACTTTCCTATAGGAACTCTTACAAGGATGAAGACCCCAATCCTGTATTTTATGATGAACAATGTCTTAGCTCAAAAAGCAATAATTGGGTGGGGATTTAGCTCAGTGGTTCCACTGCCTGCCTCGCAAGCGCAAGAACCTGAGTTCGATCCCCGGTACCAAAAAAAAAAAAAAAAAAAGAAAGCAATAATTACTCTTAATACTTGGTGGTTACTATTTCTAATCCAGAATAATAATGGTTACTTATTTCTCTCTTCTGACTCACCAAATAGACCTTCTATTGCTTAATCAGTATCTTACAGACTTGTACCATCACTTTCTGTTTTAGGTGGGGATGCTGGATTAACCAAGGCAAAATGCTTGGGAAAGCATTTAAACCCAGTCTCCAGCAACAGGGACTAGTTAATTTTAATACCTAAATTTTACCAATTATCATACAGCACAAATTCATTCTCTTTTTGTTCAAGTATTCATATTTAATCAAAGCACATATAAAGTATAATATTTCAGACCTAGCTCTTAGAAAATGGTTGTATAAACTACATTTTTAGATATAGATTATTAACGGTTATTAAATTTATGGAGATTTAGAGAACATATTTCCTCAAATTCTTTAACTGTGAAATTAAGAGAATTATCAGGAAAATTCCATTTATTAAAATAGTGACAGTATAAAGAATACCAAGTTAAGGAGCAAAAACTAGCATTAACATCAGCGAGTGAGATGTTATTTTTAAGGTTTAGCACGGCAGTCTTATTGACCTTGTTATCATCCATGACTGTATTTAGTGATTCAATCCACATGGGGTCTATATCTCCATCCAAGACTATCCATTTTGGCCCATCATGTGTAAGATTTGCTTGTTCTCGTAGAATGGAAGAGAACAGACCTATAAAATAAAAGTAAACAATAGTAGATTATCATGAATTCAGATGCAGTTTATTTCTAAAAGAAATTTATAGAATTTATCCTCAAAGGTCTTTTATTATTATTTTTTTGGTACTGGGGATCAAACTCAGGATCTTGAGCTTGCAAGGCAGGCATGGTGCCACTGAGCTAAATCCTCAGCCCTCAGAGGTCTTTTATTAACTAAATAAAAAACATTTTACCATCATACCCACAATTCAATACCCATGTATGTGTATTTCAATACTATCCCCAACTCTAACCCTAAACTAATGCTAATACTAACTCTCAAAACCACACTGCAATTCACAGGTACTTAAATTCTGACACTATTCCTGACCTCAACCCTAACCCTAACCCTAACCCCAACAGTACCAGTCATAGCCACACTGAAATGCTCAAGTATGTGAAATCCAACAGGATACCAATCCCTAGCCCTAACCCTGACCATCATGCTCACACTCAAATAATGAGGTACTTGAATTTCAACAGTATCCTTAACCCTAACCTGAACATTAACCATAATACCCACACTCCAATAGTTAGGTATCTGAATTCCAACACTCTGTGTAACCCTTAAAATAACATGAACCCAAAGACTCACATTCATACCTACACTTCAAAACTCAGGTATGTGAATTTGAACTGTAAACCTAACCCTAAATCTAACACTAATACTAACCATCAAACCCACACTCTAATACACAGGTACTTGAATTCCAAGATCATCACTTAACCCAACCTTAACCCTAAGCCTAACCCTAACCCTAAAACTCCTCATAATAGCCGAGTGGAAATGCTCAGGTACTTGAAATCCAACACTGTACCTCACCCTAACACTAAGCCTAACATTGACCTTCATACTCACACTACAATAATCAGGTTCTTGAATGCCATCCAGATTCCTTACCCTAACTGTAACCATAACCCTAATGCTAACACTAACCATAGTTCCCACAGCCAAATAGTCAGGTACCTGAATTCGGACACTTTCTGTAACCCTTAGTGTAACATGAACCCAAAACCTAACAATCATACCCACACTCCAAAACCCAAGTGTTATGGTTTGGGTCTAGATGTCCCCCCAAAGCCTCATGTGGTCATAGGCTTGATCTAGAGTGTGTGAAGTTGGAATTGATTCATGATGCAAGGCTAGGTTCAAGGGCACTAGGATTAAGGGTGTGAGTGCTACTGGCCCTAAGTAGTCTGAATAAGATAAAAGGGACAGGGAGATGCTGTTAACTCTCTTGCTACCTTTGCTGCCTTGTGTGCGCCATGTTGTTTTTGCTCTGCCATGTCTGTTTGTCATCCCTACCTCGGAGTTGGCTGATTATGGACTGAAACCTCTATGAACTGTAAGACAAATAAACCCCTTACCCTTTAAAAAAAACAAAACCAAAAACCAACGTTTTTCTGTCTCTTTCTTGTGGGCAGTGTACCACAACCTCTACATGATATACAGGCTCCAGATCTGGTTTTACTATTTACCAACAGGCAAGTTTCTCCACCAGGGAAGGAGCATTCCCTTCCCTGACTGACATTCCCCACAGGTCAGACATGGGTAAACTACCTTCCTCAAAGAATAGTTGTGGGATTTATAGGCAACATATGTAGAACTTGCAACTTCCACCAAATGAAGACGTTACCCTTTTCCACACTCTTAAATTAATATCTGTCTTAGAAGTATTAATTTATTTCATCTACCTCCATTCTTGTGCAACAATATTCCAGGGTCATAATTCCAAGGTAAAGTATTTGGAAGTGTTACACATCTCTTTGATAATTCTGGATGTTGGCATTAAATTGTCATTACTTAACAGATGTACAGATAAAAACATTTTAAATCCATGGCTTTTCTGCCACTGCTACATATCTAAATACATGGAGAATTTAATAGTTGCTGACTTTTCAAACTCAAGTATATAACACCATGGTGAATGAAACTGCTTTGGTCCCTTTGTATGGAGGTTTCCTCTATGAAATGTTTTGTGTAAAAATAAATGACAGCATCTAGTCAAACCTGCCACTATGGTTTATAGGAAAGGCAGCAATCCTTTCTAATGGCTGCTCATTCCAACCTATTCCATAGCTTCTCAACATACACAGATGAACAATTTTGTACTGGCTATAGTCCTTTATAAGAAGAGAGAAATTAGACTAAGACAGCAAACATTGTCCCACAGATAAAGGAAAGTGTATATAAGAGGAGAGAGAATGACAAAGTGTGACCTGCTTCACATCAGGTCATCAGGGAAGTCTTCTCAGATGTGACCAGACACTTAAATAAGCTAAAGGAGCAAGACATACAGGTACGCGGAGGAAGAGTGTTACTGACGGGAGAGCATCAGGTGCCAAGGTCTCATAATGCAAAGAGGCTTGGAATAGTCAGGAGGTCAGAATGAGCAAACTGGAAAGAAGGGCAGAATAGAGAAAATGAAGTCAGAGCTAGTGAGGTGGCCTCTAATCACTAGGGCCTTGTAGGACATGGAAAAAGGTTGAGTTCCAAGGGTGATGGGTAGCCAGTGCAACCCAAAAGCTGGGAAAGAAAATCCCGAGGAGCCCTCTGACTTCTGTATGGAAAATGAGCCATAGGAAGACCAGTGGGCAGTGGCTTGGACTAGTGTGCCATCTATGGAGAAGTTGAAAGTACTGGAATTCAACACATAAGGTATTTTTATGTTTGAGCCCATGGGATCTGTTGAGAGACCGAATGCAGGGAATCAGAGGAAGGATTCCTCAAGACCAATACACACTTGCTGACAGGGGAAGAAGTCATAAGGGCCCCTACCAAAAGTATCTGCAAATACAGGGAGGGTATCCCTTATCAGACATGCTTGGGCCCAGAAGTGCTTTGGATTTCAGATTTTTCTGGATTCTAAATCATTCACATAGACTTTACCAGTTGAACAACCTTAATCCAAAAACGTGAAATACTTTAAATCACAGATTTAAATCAGATTTCAGAGCACTTCAGACTTTATATTTTCGGAATAGGGATAATCAACTTGTCCTCTTAGGGCAGCAAACATGCCCAACTGAGTTCTGACATTGGTCTCCAGAATAACCTTGTCCAAATCTCAGTCAGGATCCTACATCAGGCACTTAATCAATATGTCCAGAGAGATCCATGTTAAGGTTGCTTCTGGATTAAAAGAGCCCTCATATAACTGATACAGGATAAAACATAGCTCTGAGCACAGGTCGCTGAATGCAAACCAAGTATTTATTTGAATCTAGCTTTAATTTTTACATTATAAATGCTGCTGTGATCTGCTGTATTTGCAATAATGCCAACATATAAAGAGTAAATCTGTGACTATGACTAAAATTGGTTTTTACCAAAAAATGCCTTTCTGGATAGAAAAAAAGAAATTTTTAGTCACTGAAAGGGGACTATTACTTGCCATCTTTCCATTCTCGGGTAGCATGATGTATGAAACCAAAGAGTTCATCTGTTGTCACAGCTTTAGGGTTCAAGTCATTCCAAACGGGCTTCTGTTTCATGTGAACGTATGTTCGGTTCAGTGTTCTCAAAATCTGAGAAGGGGAAAAAAAGCAAACCAAGAAAACTAATACTAATGTAAGCCAAATGGAAATTAAAAGATTTTCAGAGGATTTTTCGTATTCAGTATATGTTACTAGATATTCTGGAGAATGTCTAGACAAAACGGTGCAAAATAGACACACAGTATGTGCTTCTCCCTTATCCTCTTGAAAAGTCCAGTCTCATGATTTCCTGGGTTCAATTTACTTAACTCTTTAAACTATTTAGACCAGAGAAAGTCACTTTATCATTTGTGATTTTAACCATGTGTACAAAGTGAAAAACTGTATGTAAAGAAGCAATCACATTCATGTTTATAAAACCACCCTGCCTGAATTATTTAGATCAGCTGTTCTCCAAAGTTGGCCCCTACCAGGCCATGGCTGGGTCCACCCCCAGGGCTTCCAGTTTCTTAGGTCTGGTGGGAGACATGTTGTCTGCGTTTTCAGCAAGGGCCCAGATGATACCCTGGTGCAGGTATGGACATGTTCTGGGGTCCAGTGTCCCAGGCCAGTGATTATCAACAGGAGACTGTCCTGACGTAGGAGAAGAGTGGCTGCATTACTGGGCTTCTAGTGGGCAGAGACCAAAGACACTATGCATCCAACAATGCCCCAGACAGCTCAGACAGCTCTCTACAATAAAGAATTCTCCAGTCCAGAAAGTCATAGTGCTTCTCCAGTCATAGTCATAGCCTGCACTACAAAATGAGAAAAAGAAGCCTTGAGGGAAACTCACAGAATAGATGCTCAGACTATGTCTAATTAATTGACACCTTAACCCAAATATCTGTCCAACTGTCTCTTTTGCTGTGAAAAGCTATGGCTTTTGTTTTAAATATTTATCATCCTGACCCACGCCCAGGAGTTTTGAAATACTGATAAACAATTGCCAAATACTTTGAAATGGTAAGTTGCTGAATAACACAGACCTGAGCTTTAGAGGTCTGGCGGTATCAGCTTAAGTACATATTGAATAGAAAAGAATAGGTGAAGACTAGATGAAAGAAATTAAATGCCTTAGGAATATTAAGCTTATATTTTTAGAAACCATTAATCTACTGGAAATTACAGAATTTAATTTTATCCTTCCATGAACTATGGCCTACATCTGAAACACATTCTAACAAAGTAATTATAGGTCTATCAGATGTCTACTTTAATATTTCAATTATTACCTTTTTTACTAAAAAATTTCTATACAGAGCATCCCTCTGCAATTGTTCCACTTTGGATTTGGATCTAAGTACTGGCAAGTTCTATATACATTCATGCTCTAAAACTCATATGCCCATTCTGATTATTTTTAGTTGTTGGCCACCAAATATGTTTACATCCAGGCATCCTGAATTAAAATGCATGCAGTTCTGCATATTCTGTCTGCCAACCAAGAAAATAAGTATGTTGCCAGGACTGTCAGTAAGGCCAAACAAAATCAAGCAGTGAACTAAAAATGGGGGATAATAATGCCCATCGCTTATCATCCTTGTGTACAGCAAGTCATACATAATGCACCCAGCACAGCACATAATAGGGACCTCAAAAATATGAGGTTTTGCCACTTCCTTTGCAAGTTTTATTTTGGCCCTACAGTGGGATGTATTTCTGAGAAAGAACTGAAGGAAAATATTTGGGTTTGTTTTTCTTAATAATATGGGAAAGAGAAACTAGGATCATCTGAAAAAGACCAGAAAGTATTTCTGAAAAATGTAAGTAGACCCAATCAAATCCTGCAAGTCACATACCTTATTCTGCAGTCTCTCACAGTGCTTACCCTTGATACAGAATCCAGGGGTGAGCATTACTGCCGGGGCATAGGGCACAGTTGTAAATGCAAGAATGGGATGCTATGAATCTTGTGGGGGAAGCCTGATCTTCCATTCAACTTACTTTTCTTAGGTGAATACAGCGTTCTATTTGTTTTTCTCCCTTCTCTCTCACAAAATAAAGGAAAATTGTGTGAACTGACTGAAGAGCAACATTGGAGTCTAAGATTTTAACCCAACATTGAGTTGGGCTTTGCTGAAGGGAGCCCTCTTAAGCAGCACTGAAAAGAGTCCCTGGCTGGAAGGTGTGAGATGGGTCACCCTACCTTGCTCTTCCCTGTGCCTGCGTTTCCAACCACAAAGACAGAGTGTCGTACGGCCAGCAGCTCCTCAAGCTGGACGACCTGCAACCAAATACCCAACAGTCACTGCTGTCCTCTCAGGAGGTGGTGACAAAAAGACAACCTACTCACTGTTGCTCAGTTCTTTCCTTACAGCCCATGCAAGCTGCTGACATCAGTGTGTTCAAGGAAAGTCACAACAGATCACAGGTCTAGAGTGTGGTTCCACCTGGATCACCCAAGTGGAACACAATAGTGAGAATGAAGTGGAAGCATTGCCTTCTGGACAATTGGTGTATGGCAGAGATAACTAAGAAAAATTAATGACTCCTCATAAAGGTTTGAACAAAAATAGTATATAGTCAATCATCATCTACAACTGAGTAATGATTTTCCCCATAAAATACCTAACGTGGATTTTCTGTACTGTAATGTCCAGGTAATGAGATATACAAATCTCCATGTGTTTACTAAACCCAAACTGAATAAGCCCATGTGCAGCCTTTGATACGTCAGTATCTTCCCAAGCTATTTCAAGCATGCTGACATTCCTCCCCTGCTAAAAGCACACACTAATGATTTTACTTCCAATATTCTCTAAAATGGAAGGGAGAGAGAACCAAATAAAATTTCAGTGCATGTCTCCAGGAAGTTGTATAAAGTAATTAAAAGTATGCTTACAGTTAAAACCATCACTTAATCATATTTATGCTTTTCCCTTCTGGCTGGATGGGACTACTAAAATATTTAGTTATATTTACTTTAGTTAGGACTGTCATATTAAAATGCTCGAAAGTACTTCTTAAGATCACATTAAGGCAGGCCGGGGATTTAGCTCAGTGATTCCGGTGCCTGCCTCGCAAGCACAAGGTCTCAAGTTCAATCCCAAAAATCACATTAAGGCCAGGGTAATAAAAGTTAATGTTTTAGCTAAGTACTGTATCACTTAAGCCATCATTTACACTGCAAACCCAAGGACTTCCATGAAAAGCAAGGGCCTCTTTTACTTTGAGAATGAAGCTCTCCTCGGGCTGCAGGCGGAGCTCCAGGGTGGACTGCCTGACCATCTGTTCAAAGTGTGGCTTCCTCCTCCTGGGCACGTCCAGGGCTGGAAACAGGTCGCCAACCAGGCCCAGAAACACTGGGACATCGTCAGTCACTATTTTCGGCATATTGAAGTCCCTTAGTGCTCTCATGAGGACCTAGGAAGGAGAAGAGAAAACACTGCACCAAAAAGCCAAAAGAAAGGACTTGAAAACTTTTTACTACAAAGAAATGATAAGATATGTTTAATCTGATTTAAACATTATACCATGTATACATGTATCAAAGCATCAAATGTTACCCCACTACTACGTATTCTTTTTAATGTATCAATTCCAAATACTATTTATTTATGCAGTACTGTGGATTAAACCAAGGACCTTCACATTGAACTATATGTCTACAGACCCAGTCATTTTTTTTTTAATTTTTGGAGCAGTTTTACTAAGTGGCTAAGCAATCCAGTCTGGGTTTGAACTTGCAATCCTCCTGCCTCAGCTTCCCAGAGTGCTGGGATCTTAGGTGTGTGCCACCACTTCCAACTTCAATTTTTTTTTTTTGTACCAGGAATCAACTCAAGGCCTCACACTTGCGCTGCACTGCTGAGCTACATCCCTGGCCCTCAGCTTTAATTTTTTTTTTTTTTGAACCAGCGATCGAACTCGGGACCTTGCACTTGTGAGGCAGGCAGCAGAACCACTGAGCTAAATCCCTGGTCCCTCAGCTTTAATTTTTAAAGTCAATATGAGGTCTAACAAACACCTAATGAGCTGAAGATGCTATTTTTAATCCTCATACTAAAGCATGAGATACTGATACTGTCCTCCAGCTGGCATGGCCTTCTATCTACTGGGAGAGGAGATGCTTTCTAATAACAACAAAACAGAAGGCTCAACTAATAAAATCAACAGTCCTCAGAACTGGGTCAGCAAGGAGGCTGCTCCTTCACTGCCAATGCTCTGTCCATCTTTATTTATTTATTTAATTTTGGTACCAGGGACCGAACTTGGGAAGGCGGCAGAACCATTGAGCTAAATCCCCAGCCCCTCCCTCCATCTTCAGAAAGAGTCTGGGGTGCTCTCTCCTGACTCCTCAAACTTCAGTCTGTAAGTTAACCACGTCTATGAGATTCCTTGGTCCAAAGTACTCTGCGACATCAGGATGATAACCTCAGACATTTTTAGCTTGGGTTTTTGTGTGATGTTGATTAAAAACCAAAGAGGGCTTTAGATTTTTTAACATCAGGATAACATTTGTAGAACGAGCTAAGTATTCCGTCAACAAAAACTATGTGCACAAGATCAAAGAAATGTAAGAAAATGTTGACTAACATGAATTGCAACTAAGAGGAGGAGAGATATTAGCAAATAAAAAAAATCACATAATACATTATCCCTTAACATAAAAAAGAAGCTTACAGAACGGACTGCCCTAGGTTTTGTTCTCCTCGGGCCCTTTTGCACGGATACATCGTGAGGAGCACGCCTTGCTTTCCCTACTTATCAATCAGTGGAAGCCGCACAAGTGCTTTCTCCATTTCTCCCAGGAAGGAAGGTAGGAGTTTCCCTAGAACTACACCTGCCACTGGTGTTAGGCAGCCACCCTTTCCACTTCATCCTCTGTTCCCAGCTTACGTCCTGAGAAACGGACAGACTGTCGCTGATTTGCCTGCATCTTCACTGGTATGCAGAACTAATAACCCAACCTAATTAATCAGATTGCCTGAATGTTCCTCCTAGGAATTCAAACCATGATTACCGAATTATTTGATTTTAGCTGTCAAAATACTTTTTATGGCTGATATTTCAGAAGTACTTATGGAATCACATTTCTTTCTCAGATTCATAGCTCTGTATTCAAGAACACTTGTGACCTCTCAAAATAAAATTAAAACAGTCTGCATTCAGAAAAGATGCCAGAGCCACGTGTGCCTCACTGTCCAGGTTTATGCTTCCATTTGTATGAAGCTGCTCTGCCACTCACTCAACAAAATCCTAGCAGCGCTGCGGTACCTGATCTTCCGGTCGATTTTTATCTCCTCGTTTCAGAGAGCCAGCGACAACCAAGACCGATTTAACAGCACGAAGTCCCCAGTCATAGTGATCCTAAAATAAAACCATAGGTATTTTTTTTTCTCAAAAATTGTATGAGGGGATAAGATTCTCATTCCAGAAGTGAGAGCTGAAAGTTAAAAAGTTCAGAAAAAAACAAACTTTAATAGTTCCAACTAATGTTTCCTCTCTTCTCCTCTCCGAAACTGAAAATCACATTCCTGAGGTGGCTGTCCTGCTTTTTCCTGCCTTGGTCAGCAAATCTCCCTTTTCCGTAGCCCGACAATGCAGCTTCTGCTCCAGACTCTATCTGCCTCCCTCGCTTCTCTCTACAAACTGCTAACTCAGGAGCTCCAGCCTTCCATGTGGCCACCTCCAACCACAAGCACACTTTGAAATGGTGCTCTTAGAGTGCTGGCTTCCCACCTTTCACCCGTTACCTCGTCATCACTAAGACACCCCTTCCTTGATGTTGGCACTAAATATAATAAAAACTATATTGTTAAAATTCAATTATAAACCAAGGCCCCTTTGACCTTCCACATTGTCCCTAAGGAAGGTTCTTCTCATAGGATCTGAGTTCCTGGAGGATAAACGTAGCAACTTATTTCCTCTGGTCTTTTAGGTCCAAGCAGTATCTGGCACAGAGTAGTTGTTCAGTAAAAACAGGGTGATTCAAAGGTGACTGATCTACATCTACGTCTTTCTTTCCTTGACCCATACAATCCACACAACAACAAGGAACCCTTCCCTTGAAGGGCTCTCAGCTGGGCCCTGAGCCATTTACCTGACCTCTGCAACTCTCAGACTCACCAACCTATTAGGACAGAGAAAGAAGCACCCATCTACATTACAAGGGATCGAGGGACTAAAGTGACTTAACACGGGCAGTGAAACAGTATATTTATGTATGAACATGTTATTTTATCCAGTAGTGGGTAATAAAAACAATTTAGTGGATTTCACCATCATTTTTGATGGTGACAAAATAAGGCAGAATGGAATGAAAACACATCAGAGCGGCTTGCAAATTATAAGGGTAAGGAGTGCTTGGTGAACATGCTTGGTTTGGTTGTACGCATATATGTGCACACGCCCACCAGCTGCTTACTGAGTCTCAATAGAAAAAATATCTTTGACCGTGGAGCATGGTCAAAATCATTTGAAAGTCAGTGATGTAGAAGTAGACTAGGGCTTTAGGAGGGAAGGGAAAAGGAAGAACCAGCGTTTGGAGAGGAAGAAGATTGGAGACGGGGCTAGGTCCTTGCAGTAAAGATATTTAAGGAGAGGAAGTGGAAGAGATTCTGGACACAGATGTAAAAGGACTTGGTGGCCTTGCTAAACAGGTAAAGACTGCAAATGGCTGCTAAATTAATCATCCCCATTTTCACTGCATCATTCCTTTGGTCAAAATGTTCACTGATTCTTCTCACAAGGCCACCCCTGAAGCTCAGAAAGGTATCTATGAACTGTGTTCCTCACTCAACTCTCTGTCCCGGCCAGATTCCTTTTCCATCATCTCTCATTCACCTCAATTCACTGAGTTCAAGATCTCTGTCCTTCTCTCTTCGACCTTTACTCCGAGCACCTTCCTCTTGTACTTGGCTACAAGTGTCACAGACAGCATAAGGAGGACCTGAAGCGACATCATGTCCCCACCACTTGCTAGGTGTGGACCTTTAACAGGTTATTTAATTTTACCTATAAAACAGGCCTAATACTATCAAACTCATAATCCTGTGAAGACTTAATCACAATACATGGTATCTGTTCAGTAAATACTGGTTATTTTAAGAAAGCGCGAATCAGTTTCATTCGTTTTGTATCTAGACCCCCATCACTGTCAGCAGTAAGCAAACTACTCAGGTACAGTAGATACTTTCTAACTACTTTCACATTACTACTGGGAATGGATTTGGTTACAATTTCACGTTTCCTCGTTCAATTACTTTTTTTCTCTTCTTAGGTTTTATTATAGAATTTAAATAGTCTCATAAAAAGATGACAAGACTATGAAATATGAAAATCCCAATGTCCTTACTATCTAGAGGCAACTTAAAGATCATAATGCATGTCCAAGTTACTGCATATGTATAGAAAACAGAATGCAGTAATACCTTGGTTCATGAACGCTTCTGTTTGCAAACAATTTGGTTTGCATACAAAAGCATTCAGCAAAATTTTGCTTCCATTTCCAAACTCTGCATTGGGTGACAAACACAACCACAGCTGTCTTCCCCACACAAATACAAATGCACGTCTTTCCCAAAAATCATAAAACGAATTAAGTTTGTAAACCGAGGCACCACTGTATATAATACACAGAACACATGCAAATCAGGGATCACATCCACTGTTTGGTATGCTGCTTTTATACATAATAATGTTGTAAACATTCTTTCACATGATTATGTTTCATAATTTCTTCTGAAAATATAAATTTACCATCGTGAAAAGGATAATTTAACTTTCACTTCCCAGATTCCATATCCCTAACAGTGGGAAAGTTAAAATAAATACATCAGGCACTAAGGTAACTGTGTTTGCAACTGGTATTTTAATATTCATTTTGTAACAGCATGGGCAATGTCACTGGGAAAAGACCAAAGGGCAGAAGTGACCACAATGCTAAACTGAAAAGTACCGATGCTGAACAGATACAGTTTTTGTGTCACATTAGCAACTTCAATGAACCTGAGAGAAACTTATGGCTGGACAGTAGAGAGCAAGACTGAACCATTTCAGAGTCAAAGGAAATATACAGCAAAAGTTAAAAAAAGAAAGCCAATGAGTAAAGGATTGCCAACACATGAGAAAAACCTTAACATTTCTCAAGATATTCTTCAAAAAGTAAACTTCACCTCTCTTTTAGGAATACTTCTACTTTCTCCCACTAGAAAATAATATTTTCACCAAGAAAGAGAAGGAGCATAAATCTCCCTTCCTTTAAAATTATAGCATTAATAGCAAAGAAAAATCACAGAGGCCATTTATTAAAAAAAGAACTTGTATTAAGAACACATATTAGGACACTAAAATGTCTCTAATTTAATTTCTGAAAAAAATTAAGGTTCATAAGATGTGGATTTTCAAGATTTATGGAAAATATAAAATCACTCCTAATGTCTGAGAATCATGTGAGTGTTAAATTAGCCAGCATCCTTAATTTCTAAAGCTGTTTTAATGGGATGTAAAAATCAAGAGAAAGTAACAAAAGTCCCCTCACCTGCTTGGACAGGAGCTCCTTGCAGAGTGTGTACAATGAAATGAACTTTCGGGCTAATGAGCGTGCATCCACAAAACCTTCAGCCACGAGCATGATTTCACAGATCAGCTCAATGTCAGGGGCGACCATGGCACAAGGTCTGAAACGTAAATCGGAAATTTAGTTTTAAAATGTGATAAGGTCATAAGTACAAATTGCTTAACTCAAGTGACTAATCTGTACCAACACTCTCACCATTGCTAAGCAGGTCATAATTACCTCTGTCAATCACAGCTAACGAGACCATTCGATTCAACTAAAACACATCCACTGGGGCTTGGACACCAGGAAAAGATGGAAAGTCGGAAATGACATAAGTATGGATGGAAGAATTTTTTTAAAATTCGTGGCTGCATTCTGTAAACTTACTGCTATTTAATTTGCTTGTTTTGATGCTGGGGATTTAATTGAGTATCTGCTCTTCCACTGAGCTGCATACCCAGCCTCTAAAGTTCTCGCGTCAAAGTTGTCACAGCAGAAAGAGGTACAGCAATGCTCTTCTGTGCTAAAGGCCAGCCTGTGGCTAGTGGTGTGCTGGTAAAGGCTGAACCAACAGCTGTCCAGAAAACAGCTTTACTGATTTCCATGGAATAAATCTTCCCCTCACCGCTGAATCCAAGCTACCAACACTACATGTGGAGCTGGGGAGAGACCTGCTCTGCAGTAGGAGGTCACCAGCACACAGACAACCTCCGGGGCATAAATATTAGTAACATAAGCAATTATGAAGCCACAGGGTTTGAGAATCAACTGTTTTGTGATATAATTTATTGAATCAAAAATTGATACATAATTTAGTGTTTACTAAGTAGTTGTGCTCAACAAAAGCAACATGTAAAAAATTCCACTCAAGTGCAAAAGAAGCAAGAGCAAATAAATAAGCACATGATTTCAGACTTTTAAAACTGCATACCCCAGGCCAGGGATTTAGCTCAGTGGTTTCGCTGCCAGCTGCACAAGCGCAAAGACCTGAGTTCAATCCCCGGTACCAAAAATAAAAACCAAAAAAACTGCATATCCCAATAATATTT